TGTACATCGATTCATCAGCTCAGGATGTGCAAACAATTGGATTGATAGTTGATGATGCGTTGTCCCCAAAACAATGATGTTGTTTCGTTTTTGTTGCTCTGGCTTTCGACTTTGTTCTTTTGTGATACAATTGATTTTGGAAAAACTGATTGTGTTGTCTCAGGGTAAATGAAGGGACTCCTCAACAAACACCTCACTACCTTCGCTGCAAGGGGTGTCCTGTTTGTCAAAAACAATATTTTGTTTGGGAATAATAAAGAAACCCCTTGCCGTCCCTGTTTGTAAACGGCAACATGTGTTTAGGAAAGAATGAGAAGACCCCTCAAGGTGGTTTTTGTTCACCTTCTTGGGAGCCCTGCATTTCACCGAAAAGGGGTCGGCAAATGTTCTTGTAGAGCCCTCCAGGTTGCTTGGCGCAGCCACTCCGCCCGGGAGGCACGTGGATCTTGGGATCTTGTGGGGATGTCACGGGACATGTGCCAGCCTATTTGTACATGAGGAACGGGCGAATTTACTGTTAGTCTTCTCTTTAGTTTGAGGCCGGCATGAGGGGACTTTCTGAATTTCCCCAAAAGTCAGGGGACGACCTAAGTTCACCATGTCCGCTTGGGGAACACGTAGTTTTGCCTGTCACATCTTTGCGGCACTCCGCTGGAGAACATAATTGAACGACGACTCTCACGGCCGCTCCAAGTCCAGACAATCTTCATCGTTCTTGGCAAGTTGCCTGGTTGTTTGGCTTTTTGTGTGTGCTCATTTTTAGTAGGAGACTGCAAAAACAAAAATGTGCTGCTATCATACCAAGACTTACCTCTCACCCTTAGCCCTTGTTTGGAAGTACCTGGGCACTCCCGAAGCCAATGCCTTCTGCAACACGCCCGAAGGGATCTGAATCACAGCCACGAGTCCGGATAGCCTGGGGCCTAGAGGGGATAACATCCATTTGTGTGTCAAAAGATTTGTGCATTTTCTCCTGTTGGTTTTAGAGGGAATCTTTCACTTCTGGAAATATTGTTTGTTTGTTTTTCAGGGGACTTCAGATCATGGATGGAAGTTGAGTTGAACTGATTGGGCTGCATGTCGAAGGGGCTGCCTTTGGGAAGTCATGTCAGGTGGATATGTGTGATGTGCTGCCCTGCACATGGGTATGTCGGTTTTTTGGGGGGACCCCAAAACATGGTGGTTGTCCTTTTGGTTTGCCTTTAAAACAACCAAGAAAAGGTACCTCCAAGGAAAGACACTCCCATCTCTATAGTCAGTTGAAAAGTTTGAAGCATAGGTTTTGCGTTCTGCTATATGGAGCATACTGCAGACAGGACCAAACTGCAAGCGAGAATCGATCGGCCTTTTTTGGCCCACGGGAGAACTTCAATCTGCTTTTGATGTGACACGCCCAAAATCAGTGAAAGACGGTTCTGTGTTTTGATTCAGAGAAATGATGTGAGGACTGGCGAACCGAGGGTGCTGAAGGGCATCCTTTCTTTTTGCAATTTTCTCGAAAGGAAGCCAACGTTGGATGGATGATGGACATGCTTGGTTGATTTGTCCAGGCCTCCGGTAGATGTTTGCTTATACTTTGGTGGCACCAGCAGCCTGCTGAAGCACAAGGAATCGGTGTCGGTGCTTGGCTTCCGAAAGTGCAGCTTTTTGCGGGGTTTCTGCCACCCATGTTTTTGTTGTTACCTCACACTCGCTAAATTTCAACCACGAACAAGCGGCGAGATTAAATGTGCCATGTCAATTGTTGGGAACAATGAACCTTGATCGCGGTTCACATTGACATGATGTCTTGATTGAACATGCAGTGACTCCCCCTAAGAGCCCCTCTACAAGTGTGGAAATGGAATGGGTCCCATAAGTTTTGAATCGGGATCAACGCGCAAACCCTGGGCGCATATAGGGGTGTGTCTCCAAAAGGACAGCTCCCGAACCAAAGAACAGGCATGTGTGAACCTTGAAACAGAATCTCAAGAGACAACCCCCGACTTGTGTCGCTCAGGGACCTCCCCCATTCATCATTTGTCCTCAGATGTGATTTGACGCCGCCTAAAGCACCCAACTAAAAGATTGTTGGGGTCCTTGGGGTTCCCAACCCCGCCCAACCCCCACCAACCCCACCCCACCAGCACCCCAACCCCACTCCAACCCCGCCGCCCCCCCACGAAATCCATCCAAATCCCAAGTAGCTCTCCGACAGGCGCTGCTGGCAGATGGGTCGCTGGGACTGTGCGCGGAGCATCTCCGAGGCCCGGGATTCGACGAGGGGCCCCGCTCTTGGCGTGTGTGTCTTGAAAAAGTCAAAACAAAGGAGTGCCCTCCGTTGTTGGCATGTTCCCCCCTGAAAAACAACTGCTGAACAAAGGAATGCCCCCTGTTCTTGGCGTGTTTCGCTTCAAAAACTGCCAAGCAAAGGTTTTTGCCCCTTTCTGCCCCATCAAAATCCACTGGGGGTCTGATTTCGCATGGAACCCCTCGACCAGCTTGGTTAGAAGCATCTCTTTTTTGGGGGCACTCTTTGTTGGGCTCCGTGTTTAGGTTGAAACGGGTGCCGCAAAGATTCATTGGTTGCTGGAAGGGGTGGGAGGTAACTGTTTGGAGGCGCTCCAATGGACGCCTTCTTGTTTTGGAGTTGAATCCATCAACGGAGTTGGATCATTCAAGACTGCTTTAAAGTGAAGACTTCAGGTTTTCCTGCACAAATATTACCTTCAGGTTGTGTTCCTCATGAAGTCGGCTGGTGAAACAGTCAAGAGCACACTGGAAGCTGCCGAGTTCTTTCGAGCAAAACTCTTCTGGACAATTCAAATGATCCGAGAACCTTTGGGGCAGACATGCGATACATGGAGGACAAACCGGGATACATGGATATGGATATAGCAACAATATCGATTGCTGCGGCTAAGGAGCCTTTTTTGCGAGCTGCCCGTTGTTGACGACCCTGCTAAGGAGGAGGGGAGGCGTTTTGGTGACTGGTGACCCTATTTCAAGATTATCATGTGTTCATAGTGGAGAAGGGAACTGACGAGGAAAAGAACCCCGAAACTCAACCATATCTCCCGTATCTTTTGTTTTCAACACTTGGGCCAACTTGAAGTGAGTCTCCTTTTGGGCTGTTTTCCGGGAAATTTCGGGAGACCTGGTGGCCTGCTTTTGGGTTTGTGGAGATCGGCGCCAGGTTTAGACTTCAGCAGCGATCTCTCCTGCCGCAGGGACTACGAGGCCCTCGGCCCCGCTCGCCCGCTGCCGCGCTTCGGTCGGCCCAAACAAGGAGGGGCCCCAACAAGGGCCAGGGGCTGCGAGTCCTCCAAAATGGGTACCCGAATATCCAAAAAAAGACACCCACACACAAGGTACACACACACATGCTGTATCACGTTTGATTAAGACAAACACTAACTGAATAAATAAGCAAAATCAATCAATCGATAAAGACATCAAACTGAATAATCATAAGATTGACAAACACATACATGCATAATATTCATACATAATTGTTACATAATATACAGACAGAATATATTTTGCATGACATACACTCCCCGCACACGCCGAAGCTTTCGCCCCTCTGCCAGGCAGTGGAAGGCGCGGTGTTGTGGATGCTGGGCCTTCAGAAGGACCTGGGAACATCCAAGTCGAGTCGTCGAGTCCGGAGGAAGCGAAGATGTCCTTGGCGCTTTTCTGCCTCTTTGGGGGGGGGGGGGAGAAAGGAAAGGGGCCATCAAAGGACCGGATGTTTGTGCTTGCAAGGAAAGACCAAAGGAGGTTTTGGGCGGTTCCCAGCCGTCCCGTTAGGTCTCTATGTGTTTGGTTGTTCAGTAGGAGTTTCCGAATTTGACCCACTAAAAGTTATTCAGTTCTAGCAGGGGATCTGAGGACAGCCCAGTGTTGGTTTGTCTCCAAATTGGGAGATGTCTGTTTGCTGTTTGAGCAGAAACGAGCCCCTCCCAAGATCTCAAATTGGGTGTTGGGTGTTCTTTTGTTTTGGCAGGGAAACAAAACAAACGGGGTTCATGGGAGCTCCAGAAAATCCCACTGCCAACGTTAAGGCCATCTGAAGGGTCACAGCCGGGTGACAGGCAAAACTGGCGCCTTCCCCAAAATTGTTGAATATCTTAGGGTAGACAAAATGGGCGTTTCTCAACAAAAGGGGGCAACGGCCCCACCCTGGCCAGATCAAGTGCCGTTTGTTTCCGTGTTTTTGGTTGGGCTCTTGACAGGGGAGATCATTGACCCCGAACTCAGAGGGCGCTTGTTTGCTTTTGACACAAACGAATTCTTCCATCGGCTTTCTTTTGTCTCCGGGCGTTTGGTTGCTTTCCACGTCTTTGTCTCCGATAGTTGGGTTCGTATGGGTCACTTGGCCGGGCTGCGAGTCTTGTTTGTGGCTCAGGAATCTCCAGGTTCGGCCACGCAGCTTCCGACACCTCTCTGGGGGTTTCCTTCAAAGCCAACCACCCAAAGCAGGCCGTGTTCTCCCATGCCTGTCGTCTTGCCAGGAGGTGACTTGGCAATTGGACATATCTCATCCACATCACTTTAAGTCAGCAGCGGCGAGAGGCCTTGAGTTTTCCATTTTCGTGCGGGCTCAAAGGGTGCTTCAGTCCAGCCAACAAGCCGATGCCGTTTGGCTGGAGGGCGCAAGTTGTTTGGCAAGATGAGACTGCAAGGCTTACAAATCGGCGAGCATGCACTGCTTGAGGATCGGAGGTCAGGTTATATGTCTGAGCCCAAGGCACATTGCAGAGCAAACCGATCTTAACTTGCCTTACGTGTCATGTTTTAAACAGGTGTGTTGCAGGAAGTTCTGCAAGAGCCAGCTGAGAAGTCGGCAAAAAGCCTGTGCAGAAATCTCGTTTAGGCAGCTTCACGCATGATTCAGACCCTTCTTCGCATTTGCGCCTTACCGATTTGCCCAGAGTAGTCCTTGGCTTGCATTGTCAAAGTTGAATTATGATTGAGTTAGAACCTCAGGTTGTGCGGTGACAGGTGAAACCTCCCCAGACTTCATCTGGTCATCCGATTTGGAGAAGGAGCTGTCCTCGCCATGGGCGAAGCGGAGACGGTGGCGCAGGCGCTGCGCCAGCACGTGCTGGCGCCGGAGGAGGCAGCGCGGACAGCGAAGCCTTGAGATGTTGTGTTTTCTGGGCTCTGAGTCTGTCTCCAAAATAGGAGAACCCTTTTTGGATGAAGGGAAACGGTAACCAAGAGGAACCTTTGGGGGGGTGGAACCTTTGGGGGGGTTGGTCCCCAATGTTTTGGGAATTGCTTTGATATTGCAAATGTGTGCATGTGTTTTCCTCCTTTTTTTCCTGGCCGAGTAGAGATGCTTGATTTCCACGAAACTGGACTGTGTCCGTGTACTTTAAATCAAAGCCACTAAATCTTTGCACCCAGATTGACGGGATGTGTTCTTTCCGGAGCCTCAATAGGTGACTCTTGACACCAACGAGTCTTTCGGTCCCACGTTTTGCGGTGTTTTCTGCCAGGTTTTTTTTAAATCACTGGTGTCTCTATGTTCATGAAGTACTTTACTTTATGGAGATGGGCGTGTCTTTTTCTGGGTTGGTTTGCAGGGAAACCAACAGGTAAACCGAATCCGCGCTTTCGGGGTTCCCTGTCTTGAGCGCAGACTCCCCCCTCCCAAAAGAATGAAAGAACGTGGCCCGAAGCACCAATAGAAATCAGTTTCAGAGCCTCGACTTTGTGAGGCAATGCAAACTAGACAGCTACTCTCATGTCACAAGGCTGTGTGATGGTACCCTAAATGGTGGTCTTCCTTTTAAAGTTCCCTTTAAAACCACAGAAAGACGGGGTTCTTTTCGCACTTCCTATTGGTTCCCTTTAAACCCACACAAAAACGGGGCTTCCCCCCACAAAAGCGACACACTCAGACGTTGGTTTCCCGATCCGTGGTTCGAAGCCGAGGACATCCGCGCCTGCGCGGAGGCGCTGGCGAAGCACGCGGACGACCCGTCTGAGGGCCCGCAGTGCGCGAGGAAGCTGCTGCGGGCGCTGACGCCGGAGGCGCGACCCGAAGGGAAAAGCAGCCCAGGTGCGGCTTTTGGGTGGCCCTGCGAACTACCCTTCAAAGACCACTGGGACCAATAGCTGGTGACCAAACAAAGGCATGTTTTTTGATGGGCCACCCAACAAGGGTGGCAAAAAACAAGCAAACTCAACGGAGTTCCAGGACTTGGGTCTATGTTTTGGACCACGGCAAGAAGTCCGAACTTCTCACCAATCCCGTCAAGTGGGGAACCCTTGTTTCTGGTGGGTAGAGCCTGGTTTCCCTTGGCCTCAAGTGGCTTCCCTTCCAAAAAGGTGGCTTTCCCTTGGCCTCCCCTGGCAAACGCCCCTTGAACCGAACTGACTCCCCGTAGATCGACCTGGTGGCGCATGCGCTGGCGACCCACCTGGCGGAGTTCATCCAAGAGGAGAAGCAGATGGAACTGGTGGCGACCGCGCTGGCCCAACACATGGAGGCACGCGGAAGTGATTTCTTTGTGCTGGTGGACCCAAGGGTTCCTCTTTTTTTTTCTCGGATGGGGTAGACTGAAACCCAGGCATATGGGTGCGTCTTTGTTTCGAGGGTGTCCCTTTTGGGCGGTTTTAAAGAGAAGCCAAACGGAAAGGCACTATTTGGGGGTCCCCTAAAATCACTCACCCACATGCCTTTTGCTTAAAGGCCAGCTGTGCCACCACGCAAACCGTTTGTTCCTTGCAGGTCCTTTGGGCCGGTGAGGATGATGAGTCTTTACCAATGCTTCTAACCAATGCTCCATTGCTGTCATGATTCAATGTTGTTTTTTGGGTGAGGAAGGGGAAATTCCGTGGAGTATTCCATAGTTTTGAGGGATCGGCAACACGTGCATATATATATATATATACACTCGCATAATATAGTTTTGCAAAGAGGTTAAAGGGTGGTTGACAACTTTTGATATATGTTTGGACGTCATTTGATGTGAAAGGGTTTGAAGGCCATGCCTTCCCATTGGTTTCCACACGGAGGCTTCCGTTTCGAATTTCCTTTTGCACCAACCTGCCGTTTTCTTGATTGCGATTTCTGTCTCATGATTTCCGGATTCAGAACGGTCAGCAGGCGTCCCCGGAGATTTAAAATAAAGGAGCTTTCCGCGTTCCTTTTACTTTTCGTTAAACGCACCCCAAAAAACAGACGAGCCTCGGCAAAAAGACGAGCCACCTGGGGCCCCTGGCTTTTGCCCCCCCAAAGAGATGCGCCCAACGACTGCGACACAGGAGCAGAAGATCGGCTGCGACCCCGCGCAGGTGATCGCTAAGGCACTGGCCTTGGTGCTCCAAATGTCGCGTCTCAGAATCGCGCTGGACTCCTGGATCTCCACTTGACTGCTTTCGTGTTGTTTTGTTTGAGAAGCGGAGTTCATGTATATCAATTGAGTACGGCCATGGTTGAAAGGCTTGAACTTGAGGCCGGACTTCTCACATGTCTTGTTCTCTCAACTGCTATTGGGCAACAGATCTTTAGACGTTCACCTTTTGGTTGAAATCAAGTTGTGGTTTCCACGAAACCCAGCCCAAAAAGTGATTCACTTTTTGCAGGGGGGTCGTTACAGCAACCAGTCCAAAGAAACGGATCTGGCAGCCTGGCGCCGAGACGTGGCGGTCTGTGCCTTTCGAATTGAACTCTTGGGAAGCCTAAGGTACTAAGGAGCGATGTTGCACACCCCGCCTTTGGTCTTGTTTTTGTTTTGCTACTCTTGGAGGAAGCCCAAGAAGACGAATCCCCATCGTTTACCACATGGCCATCCTTTTCCATCAACCTTCCTGCGAGTTTGTCCAGCTTGGGTCGGTTTCCCTTTGGTTTCCGTTTGGCTTCTTTCTTGTGCACACGCGTTGAAAGAGGACACCCAAGTGGTTTGCTTCCTGTCATTTTCTCATTGTATCTGTATTTTCCTTTTGGTGGACACGTTTTGGCACTGCCAATTTCAACGGAGATTCCTCAGGGCTCCTCAAAAGATGCACTTCATTTCGAACATCACCTTTTCCAGACCAACAGAAAACGATCATTCGTTCGGGATGTCCTGGTGGATATTGTAAGAACCCCTTCTCGTTTTTTTTTTTCTTTTTTTTTTCTTTTTTTTTTTTTTTTTCGCCATGTACTCAGGCGCTGCTCACGCACGCGGCCTTGACTTTCAGCGGCGAGCAGGAACTCCTGAAGGGCTACTCCATGGAAGGCGGGGATTCGAATTTCAAAGCCCAAGGTAGCAGGTACTACGGGGTTTCCGAGCGATTTCCTTTTTTTTGGAACCTCCAAAAGTGGTCGGTTCAATGGAAACCACAATGATCAACAAACTTTTGGAGGGGAAATCATAAGGGCCACATTGATAAGAACGGGCTTGGGTACTTAAACATATTGAGTCAGGATAGGGCGATATTGTGTGTATTTTGCTCTTACAGTACTCCTCACTCCCTGGGGTTAAGACCTCGGGGTAAATGGAACTCGGGAGATGGACACTTGCAGTCTGGGTTTGGTTTTCGGATCTCAGCAAGTGACCTCAGAGAGGCGGTTGCGACCTCAGCATGCAGGTTCCGTTGATACAGTACCATCATGTGCGGTTGATGATGTAGTGTATAATTATAGACATATAGATCCACGAGAATCATATGTTTCATAATAATTATCAATACTCATAACACAAATTCATAATATAATATAGCAAAACACAATACAATATGGTATATGTATATATGTTCACAATATGCATTTGTATATACAATAGTATATTGATATATATATATATATATTGTATATTTACATTCAGTGTACCCATATTGTGATGTTTGGGAGGTGTTTGGAGGTTTACACAGTTATGTGCAACGCTTTGACTTGGAAAGCAACAGGTCTGTCGGCTCTTTCACGTGTGTCCCTTGGAGATACCCCATCCTTCCATTTTCTTAGCTAGCTTCCTCGGTTTTCAAGGGAAATGGTCATATCACTAGAAGAAACCTTACTCATTCTTCAGCAGCACCTTACTCATTCTTTGGCATGCCCACCCAAAAAAATCGTGGGGGGGGGGGGGTGGCGGCTTTCCCTCAGTTTGACAGCTATTTGAGCCGTGTCTTCCCCTCTTTTGCATGTTGTTGTCTTCTGCCACTTCCTCATTGGCCCCTTCACCCGCCGCAACTCGTTCGTTGCCCAGACTGCGCATGGTTGCGGGAAACATGGTAGAGCCCAGGGTTCCACTTTTGTACTACTCCAAGGTAGACTCAAACCCAGGGGTTCTGCTTCTGGGGAAATCAACCACCTCTGGGTTTAAATGTTCTCTGGTTTAGTCAAGAAGTGGAACCCTGGTAGAGCCACTTTCCTTTTTCGCCAAGGAAGCCCACTAAAAGTCAGAAAGTCATAAGAACGTCCCATTTCGATGTCAGACACATTGACATGAAACCCACCAGCTCGCGTAAAGGATTTTGGGGACCCTTTGTTGGGTTCATTGCATATCAATTTGGGTTTCTTTTTTGGGGGGACCCCCCCAACAAAAATAATAATGCAGGTTTTCTTTTGTTGGCTTTCCTTTCCCTTTCAAACCACAAAGACGGGGACCCCCAAAAAAGACCACCCCCCCATTTGCAGCAGAGCATGTCTTCCACCGTGCCACGGTCGGAGGTGAGGCCACGCCCTTTCGCGTGGCCAAGAGCCCGGCGCAGCTGCTGAAGATGCATGCGGCCTGGGCCCTGCGAATCGGAGTCCGAACCGCTGAATGTGTTTTTTGCCCGGCGAAAAGAAACAAACACTGAGAACTTCCCAGTCCAGCCACAAGCAAAACCTGGGTAGATCAAGGTTCAGGGCGCCTTCGCGGCCTTTCTCATTCCTATGGTTCTGGATAGACCATATGAGTACCGGGTGCACTCGGTTGGAGTGCGGCTGATACTTGAACTGATACTTGACGCGTTCAACCCATTTTAGTGACTTTGGTGAGGATCCGATTCACTTGTAGACACCTCCCCAATGAGTCAGATGGGTACTGTTGGATTTTGGATCAAGCACCTGGTAGAGGATTTTTCGCCCAGAGCATCAGTGTGCCTTCCTCCCCCCCCCCCCCGGGCGGGCGCCCCGAACCCGCCGACCCGCCGATCGAGCGAGGCCTTGCGCAAGGAGCTGCTGGAGGGCATCCAGCGGCAGAACCGCGTGCAGATGCGCTCGGCCCTGAACCGAGGCCCAGAATTGCGGCGAAGCGAATGGGCCCGAATGGGCCGGCCGCGGGTCGTCTTGGTGTGGTGGTGTAATTATTTTAAGGCTTTCCTCCTTGGGATGGTTGGTTTCCCCTTTTTTGGTGATATTGTTGGTTATGATGTTTTTTTTGCGGGATTCCGATTGCTCATGTGGTGTGTTTCACCTGTTGCTAGTGTTATAGTTACCCCTTTTGGGACCTTTGGTATAGAATGAAATGGCTCCAGGTTTGGCAAGCTCTTTGAAGAGACTCACCCTTTTAGGCATGGAACATGGTACTGGGCCAAACCCGAGCGAGCTAAGCTGCGGGCTTTATCCAGCTACCCCTATGTATTCCTGAACTCACCAAAAAGACAGCAGAAAGCGTCAGGACAAACCGAAAGCTCCGTTTGCAGTCCAGAGGGTTCGCCCCTAGCACCTTTCCTTTCGAAGTCAAAGCACATCAGTCCCATGTGCTGGAAGGGTTTTTTAAGCGCATGGACCAAAGTTTCCTCAGTGATTCCATGCTTTAAACACCAAAAGGAAAATGGCGAAGGGTTGCCTACAGGCATAAGAGCTTCACCTTCAGCGGCTGTGAAAGTTTGCCTTCCAGCGGACAAGGGTCAGAGAGCATTCGAGCGTGGGAATGAATATTCATTGCATATTCAGGATAAAGCAACGCAACATGTTCGTCAAGTCCCTGTCTCTTATGTTAATCTGAACGTGTGAGTTCTTTCTCTTTGTGTGTTGAAGTCGAGAGTGTGCCCCATGTCTTGAACTCCCAATTGACCATAGACTTCATAGGGGGACAGTAGCTCATGAGCGAGTGATTCATTTTGGAATTCCTAAAGGCATTCTCCGTCGGTGTGCATCGATGAATTTGTACCAATCAATGTTTTCATAGTGGTTTTATTTGGACCATATCCGTGCGCCAAAAATGGATCAACCTACTTAACGGCCACACATGTCTGATGGGCTTTCCTTTCAAAGTGGCAAAGTATCACGGGTTAGCCCACCAAACATTCCTTGGCTTCCCCGTGGTTGGTTACTTGATCGCCTAAAAACCCTTCGCCCAGACCCTTAAATTTCCTTGAGGTGAAGCATATACGCATCCACAACTGATAGACTCCACAAACTAGATTCCATCTGTTTGCTTGCCATGGTTCATATAGCAATGCACAGAACCCAACAAAAAACGTCGTGAAAACCTCACGGCACATGTTGCTACTCAATTCATCGCCGCTCCCCTTGGGCCAGGGGCTTCCGTGCGCGCCCATTACTACTCCTCGCGGGTGCCGGCGAGGCGGCATGTGGCACGTGTCGGAGTCGGGGGGGCCTCCCGCTGGCACAACTATGTCATGTTGGTTTTCGCTACTGGCCTTACCCACAGGGAATTGCGCCATCTTTTAATCACTGGGTCGAAAATCATTCTTTATCATATTAGACCCTGTTGGGCCCGAGGCAACAAATGAACACCGTCGGTACTTTTTGTTGGAAGGGGTCCCATATGTTGTTGGCTTGCTCATAACCAATGCTATTGCCCATGCTGGATTTAGATGGCTGTTGCTTCCATTGCTGTAGTGGTGTCTCATGGTGGCCCAAAACCCGTATTGGCCATGGTAGTAGGCGGTGCTACCTGCTTTCATGGGCGTGAAAGGAAAGGCCTATAGAACACCGTCACGACCCATGCTCGAAACAAACGTCAGCTCTGGGGTCGCTAAACTTATGGCATTTCAATCAGCGGCGGACAGGAAGGTTCGGGACTGCCTGCAGTAACATGTGCACTAGGTGTGTCTTAGGGGATTTCAGAATGATAGGTTTCCTCTTTTAAAGCCCTCCAAACTGGGACCCTGGAATGTAATCATAAACAGGCATGCCCAACTATCCATGTTTGAGGACACGCGCGCGTTGCTTTCGGGATGGCTCTCCCCTTTTGCTTTTTGATGCTTTGCTGCAATGGATATTTGCATTCCTTTTACTGAACCTGAGGCGCAACAGTTTTGTTTGCGCATGCCGAGAGATGTGCGTGGGCCGCCAGTAATTATGGAGTGCGGGTTCATGGCTGCCTAAACTTATGAAGTGAGAGGATGTACCCCTGCGATACTGTTTTGGCTACACACCATATATGCGGTACGTAGCTTAGAGCTATGATGGGGTACACCCTAAAATCCACGTCATCGCTGCGACATGAACCAACAGCTGCTTGCCAGAGATAAATCGCAGCTTGCGAAGCACATGGTTTTCCTGTTTGGCAACGCTCTCCATGGCTCGCAACTCTCGACCACAATATGAAAGTGTCTAGGTCCCAGAGTAGTGCCCTTTTACCCTGTTTTTTGGGGAGGGTTCCCCCACTGATAGACTACAGAGAGAATTGGGTGCCCTTATTCTAAGCTCTCTACTGGAGGACCTAGGTGTGTCTCTTGGGGTGTGCGTTTTGTTGAGGCCTCTTTTGGCCTCAGCGAGACGCAGCACCCAAGAAGCTCGAGAAACAAATGGGGAACCCCGAAGCCCAAGCTGCAGCTTGCGCTGGCCAGCGGAAAGGGAGTACTCCCCTGCAAATTCTCACATGGAGCCCAAAAAGGTTGCCACAGAAGGGTTACCGAAAAAGGGTTACCAGAAAAAGGGTTACCAGAAACGGAGGCTTTTCAGGTTCCATGATAATCTGAAGGGAGTAAGTTGACCTTCTCTTTAACTGCTCATGTCAGCGCAATCTCGGAAACATGTGGGACCTGTGGCTGTTACTCAAGCGCTTCTATGGTTGAACGTATCCGAATATTATCCCTTTGATATCTGTGTGTGTGTGTGTTTTGTTTTGATTGCCAGTTCATGTAGGCGACTCTCTTTTTTTGTGGTGTGATATACAAGGGTGATCCACACCAAGCCATCAAATGATCAAAACGACCCCTTTATTTGGATTTCAGGTTCCTAATGTTCTTTCCATTTTGCCCAGAGGTTCCATTTGCATGTGTAGTGGGTCGCCAAGGAGTTCTCCGCCCTTTCAATGGCTTGAGTAGCTTGCCTGGGATCTGTTGGGCAAGGTGGCAAGGATGATTTCCCCTCCAGAAAAAGCGTCAACTTTTGACTTCTGGGGTTTCTATACTTTCCCTCCTCCATGTTGAAACCTCTGTTTTCTCCCCCTCAACCCCCCCACTCCACCCTCCTTCGCTGTGCCCGATTCGCGCCGCGAGCGGTTCGTCGCTCCGCCGAGCCGCCGCGCCGCATGAGTCGCGGGTCGCGAGTGTCGCGAGGCTGGGGAAGTTGGAACTGGAGGGCACCGCGAAGGGCCCCAGGAGCAGCTTGGTGAACCCGGTGGACTGGGCGGTGCTGGAGGGCTTCTACCAGGCGAGAGAAATGCGAGCGGCAAGCCGGGCTTGCGGCGTGGGGGAGAGAGATGGACGCGCCAGGTCGGGTCTTGGGAAGTGATGTGAAGGGCAGGCCCTCCCCCAAAAAAGGAGAGGTTTCTCCTACTTAAATGAGTTGTTGTTTCTTGAGGGAGCTTCAAATGAGGCACTTCCATCCACCGATTCAATTTATGTTCATCGTTTTGGGTAGAACCTTTTAGTACCAGGCTTTGACTTGCACTTAAATGGGTAGGTGTCAAATGTTGGGATCCGAAAATGATGGTTTTCCTGTTGACTTCTCTTCAAACCAACCTTAAATGAGGTCCATTCAGAACCCCCCCCCCCCAAAAGGCAATTGAGGAATGGCTGGCTCCAACCATCTCCAACCTCAACCGACCTTGATCCATCAATCCCTTGTGTTTTGTTTGGCAGTTCCCCCCCTTAAAGCTGTGGAAGACTAGTGTGTAGAAGAAGGGGCGCGACATGCCATTTTTGCGGCTGAGTCGGCGTAAAACCTTCAGGCGCGGCAAGCGGTCCTGAAAGGTCCCAACCTTCATGGTTGTTGGGCAACATTTTGCGTTTTGGCTTATTGTGGTTTAGTGATTGAAATCCCCACAAAACTGCTGAAATGCAAATTGTTGCTCCCCTTCCAATGTCAACCAAGCAACCCCGGATTTGCAGATTCGCGGAGTCGCGTATAGGAGGCCATCTTCCTCCTGGACCTCACCGAGGGGCACGTGAGCTTCAACCGCGATGAGGAGCGGAGTTCTCTCCAGGCGCGGAGAAGACGAGAAATGCAGCAGAAAGAGCCGGGAAACCCACCCCAGGGAACCCCTGGGCGGTTTTTTTTGGGATTGCTTTAAAGGAAAGCCAACACAATCCCAAGTAATCCCATGTTGGACGTTGAGCGCAGGTGTTTCCACTGGCTTCAGTTTCAAGACTCATTTGCTAAGCAAGGTCTAGCACCTACTTCATGGGTTGCCCCAACCAACAGTTATGCGTTGATTATGGGAATCCAGCGCTTATAAGGTTCCAACTAACTGTGCTGCGTTAGCAGAATAGTTCTTCTAAGATTGGCCAACGGCTGAGACTGGGCTTTGGATGTTGTAGACAAACTACTGTGAGGAGGTTATCGTTCTGCACAAATGGAACTATTGGACTATGCAAAATGCAATGTGCAAAGCCAAGGGAGACTTCTTCAATTGGCTTCTTGATTTCTAGTTGGTTCTTTGCTATCTTAGACTGATTGAATGGCACACTGCCTAACGTCACAGGTTTCACCACACCATACAAACAGGACAAACGAGGAGTCAAGAAACCCTAAAACTGAACTGTTAGTTTTCCTTTGCGGTCGGACAGGTGCTGGGTAGGCCTGCTTTATTGCCTCAAACGACAATGTCCGGAATGGGCCCCACACAGATTGAATAGTTGAAGTTGTTTGGTGTTTGTCTAAACGGGAGTACCCCCCACAAGGGGCTCCAGTTACCCGAAAAATGCGCCCGAAATGACCATGACCGCGATGTACCGCTCGCCTGTGGCGTAGGTGGTGCAGATGGCCAAGGAATGCCGGCAAGCCGTGGTGGTGGCCTGCCAGAAAGGCCGGGTGAAGTATAGCTCTAGGGGATAACTTCCATGTCCATTCTTCCCAGGGATCCGGATCCTTCTAGAAAACCACCAAAAATCCTGAAAAATGGCTGGTTTTTGAAAAGAACGATGGCTGAAAAGAATGGGGAATCAACCCCTAGAATAGCGGCCTATGAGCAACCAACAGTATCACAGGTCGTCAGTGTTTTTGGAGCATGGGGGGCCTACCCGATATCCCCCGTCTTCTCCAAAAGAAACAGGGGGGCCTACCCAATTGAACCAACTGTAAGTAATCTTGTCCGACTTGTTGTTAGAGATGCATAAAGTTAGTTTCACACTGTTGTATATGCATGCATATACAGGAATAGGTTAACATGTACGTGATCAACATGTTCAGGTGGCTTTAGAATCTCCTTGTGAATATGCATAACATGTATTCCCCTTGAATGTTTCTCTAGTTGTTTGCAAACTCCCAGCTTCATACTATAGAACGGGGGTTCCAACCCCATCCCCTAAATTTTCAGGGGTTCAAATCACCATTGAAACAATTGGGGTTCAAATCACATTTTTTTTTACCTAAATATTGTCATCATCGTTTGGTCCCCTTGGGCCATTCTTTGTTAGTGGTTCAACCCACCATTAAAACAATTGGGGCTCATATAACCACCACTAGGTCCCCCAGTAGTGCCCATTTACCCTTTTTTGGGAGGGTTCCCCTACTAGAATAGACTACAGAAAAAAAGGGTACCCTTATTCTAACCTCTCTACTGGAGGACCTAGACCATAGTTTACCTAAGGATTGTGATCATCCACGTTGTTTTAGTGGCAAGGAACCCTTTCGCAGGCCAGGAGCTGCTGCTGCGTGCCCTGCTGGCGAAAGGCGCCAGCTGCCTTCAGCAGGACGCCTTCGAGCGCAGCGCGCTGCACGTGGCCGCGCTGGTGGGAGACGAGGCGGGCGCGCCACCACGCGCGGAGCGGTGGCGCCAGGTGTTTGGCTGGGTCGGTTTCCGCAAGTCCAATTGGGTTTAGTGTGGTTTAGGGTATTTGGTGGCAACATCGACCAGCTTCTCAAATTGGTTTGCGGCTTGTTGGTGATTGGTGGCTGAAATATGTTATTATGTATGTGCTCTTTTGAGGCGCGGTACTCTTTTTAGGTTGGTTTTAGGGGAAAAAGAAGGGACAACTAACCTCTGTGATTTACTCTTCCCTGCCACGCCATGTGCTATCTCGCTTTGTTGGGGGCTAGGCAACGCTGCCAGCCAGTTTCCACCACATTGGTAGGGGGCCCTGGCCATTTTTCACGCGGGTAGCCAAACACACCAAGCCCAATTTCATCTACAGGTATGTATTGAAACAAGATAGGGTCCCACACCTGGAGCTATCTACATGTTTGACTCCTCGTTGCTCCCAGCAATCTGCCCCGGGCACCTCTGAAGCAAAGGGAAACCATAGGGAGGGCCGCCCCAGGTTGGGTATCTGGGCTTTTTGGGTTGGCAAGCTCTAATTCAAAAATATGGTTGAACTTGTTTGTAGGTTCCTTGACCAATTGAGGTTCGGCTCAAGCAACAAAATCATGTCACCAGCACCAACACTTGCTGTTTCTCAGTAGGGAATAGCGGAATAACCAAGGGTTTGGGTAATGAACCTGGCATTAGCAACATTGCCTTCAATTCCTGGCAAGTTCCCCGACATCAAAGGCGAGCCCAAACCCCAAAAGGGTGGCTTTTCAGACAGCTTCAAAGGGTCAACCTGCAGGAACTGCTTCCAAGCCAAGCTGAAAAGGCGAGCTCAAACCTCCACTTGCTTCAGATATGTTTTTTTTTCCTTTGTTGGTATCAAACAGGCATATCTCACTACCGGACATATGTTTTTTTTCCTGGGACCTGAACCAAATGGAAGCAAACCCAGCGGGTTTTTTAGCGGATCAAGTCCCCAGCAGGTCGCGGTGAAGCTGCTGCTGGAGCGGGGCGCCTGGGCTCCGGAGGACCGCAAGCCCGAGGTGCTGCGCTTGGCGGAGGCGCGCGCGAGCGCGCGAGCGCGCGAGTCGTTTTGGGGGGACGACTCGGACGGAGGACCCCCGGGAAAGACAAACAAGGCGGGAGCTTTGCTTCCTGTGGCCAAAATAATAATAATATTAAGAAAAAAACATATATATGTTTATATATGTTTATATATATATAATAATATGCTTCTTTAAAGAAACACATCCCTTGTTGGTGATCAAGGCTTGGTCCCCCAGTAGTGCCCATTTACCCTTTTTTGGGGGAGAGTTCCCCTACCCTACTAGAATGGACTACAGAAAAAATGGTACCCTTATTCTAACCTCTCTACTGGAGGACCTAGAAAGGAATCGATTTCACTACTGGAGATTTGTACTTCGGAAGAAATGTGTGTGGCGGCGGGTGGGTTTCTCTTTGGAACCCGACGAAAACCCGCCTCATTTGGCCCAAAAAGGAAGGAGGTTGGCTGGGTGACATGGTTTGGCTTCTGGAGTTGCATTCGATTGCTTACGTTTGCTGAAACAAATATGTTTTGCTTTCCCTTGTTGGTTTTGCAAGGAATCGGTTTCACTATTTATGTTCTCATTTGTTTCAAATGGCTTAAGCAATTGAAGGTTTGGTTTCTCTTCGGAACACTCGCAAAACCAAAGCAAACCATGTTGGTCAAAGGAAATCCTTGCTCCAAACCTTGGGCACGCAAGGAATCGGGCCCCTTTGTAGTCGCTTCCCTTTGGGGACCATGGAAAATCGATTGGCCAAGTCTCCGTTTTGAATAGCCAAGACAAAAGCACGCACAGATACAGTCCCAGGTGAGGTTCGGCCAAGTTGCCAGGGGATGCAAGGGGGTACAGTGGGTTCCGGAACTTGCAATTCACCTCAGAACATATCAAGGCCTTTTGACCTAAAATCCTTTTAAAGGACCCCACCTTTTAGGAACTCGCCAAAAACGAGCTCCGCACCTTCCCCGGGGCCGAGCTGGCGAGTCAATGGAGCGACTAGCCGACTTTCGCCACGTGAGGTTTGTCAGTTTTGAGGGATTCCCCCAACACAAAAAGTTGGCATTCCTTTGGTTTCCCCGAACAAGCACAACGAAAGGGTTCGGCAATTCAACGTGGGTGTTCTCAGCATGGGATAGATCCCGAACGGCAATACGCCGCTTCAGATTAGCATGGATTCTCTTTCTGGGGGACCCCATAGCCCTGAGTAGCCCAGAGATTCCACTTTCCTGTCGGGAACCACCCTTTAAAGTGTTACCTATAGGAGGAACTGGGATCCACACAGATTAACATCGAGCGCTCGGGTGCCAGGCACACCGCATGCACTGCATCATCGAGGCTGCAGGCGTCGGTTGGTCAGCTTCGGTTGGTCGGTTCAGACGGTCAGGCATTGGGTTGAGCACATTTGTAGGGGACGTTTGAAGAGTAACTATCCTTTTTGGGCTTGTTTCGGGAAGCAAAACATGGACAATTCTCCATCATTTGGGGGCCCCTAGAGAAAACACTCCCCCATGCAGTGCAGCATGTCAATATTCCTTGTTTTTTTTGAGAGGGGCTTTCAAATTCGAAATACTGAAAAGTAGAGTAGACCCCATGAAGCCCCGCTGCTTTGGGTCCTTTTGTTTGGGTTTGACCAGATTTGTGCTGTGGATTCCATTCTTTGGCAACCCGTGGGTCGTGGGGCCGCCGTGGGTTCCCTTGGGTTGCAGCCAGGATGCAGTACGACTTGTTCTTTCACGCCATGGGAGTGATCCATCAACAGTTTGCTGACCAAGGTGACTTTGTTTGTTTGATTGTTTGGGTCTTGCGTATGATTTGGTCATGGGTCTTTGCGTTCTTTTGGCAGGTGTTGGCCTCCTTCCGTGATATACCGTATGCTTTAATTGGATTTCACTTTAGCTCAACTTAGCGTCCAATCCAAATGAACACATGAGAGCGAACAATTTTGATTGCGTCAATGACGGTGCCGTGTTTTGGCGGCCCAGAGCTGAGCAGCTGGCCAAGATCCGATTTTGCACCCCAGTTTGTTAAGACCATCCAAGCCCATCCTTGGAATTTCCCTTTGGCGAAATCCCACTTGTGTCCAAAGGGGGACATTTCTACGGGCCTTCTTTGGCTGGTTGATTTGGTCGCACAAGGACAATCCTCAAGAAAGGATCGTGCTTCTGCTTCTGCAGAATCGGGAGCAGGCAAGGCTTAAACAACCAGACCACATTCGCCCCCTCAAAAAAATTCTGGGCCAATGTTTGGGATCATCTTACGTCTCTGCCCTCGACTAAGTTGACGAGCAATGGCAAAAACCAGATCCTGGGTTTAGGTTTGAACATTGACCCAGAAACCAAGAGGAGCTTGTTCAGAAAAAAAAAAAAAACACTCGCGTCTTTATGGGCTTTAAACTTCTTGGGCCTGGACCGATTTAGTGGCAAGCAACGAGTTCGGACTCTTGGCCAATCCACCCGATCGGAAGTGCGAATAATAGTTCTAGGGGTTGATTCCCCATTCTTTTCAGCCATCATTCTTTGCAAAACCAGCCATTTCGCCAGGGGATTTGGTGGTTTTCCAGAAAAAATAATCCCTGGAAAGAATGGGGAAGTTACCCTAGAGTAGTGGTTAACACACGTGTAAAGCGATGGGTTGGCCCAACCCTACCACAAAAGTATCCAATCCGAACTGGTGCGGTTTGTGGATGTCCATCCATAGTGCCCCTTGTCATGAGAGTTGGTGGTTGAAGGGAAACCAACATGAAAGCAACCATTTTAGGAAATGGTCCAATTCCATTTTGAGAAAACTCATATCCACTTACTTCCCTTACCAACTCCCACAATGGGTTCGATGGAAATTGCGCGGCAGGCGTGGCTGCAGGCCCAACCATTAATCTTCTGAACCCAGAGCGCCCTGCGTTCCAAGAGGCGGGGACAGTCAACTGGTGGGTTGGTGGATTGGCTGGGTTGTTGATTTGGTTTAGGCAGGTTTGGCTTGGTTTGGTTTGGCTTAGTTTTCCTGGTTTGTTTGGTTTGGTTGATTGGATTGTTTGCGTTGGTTGGTTGGTTGGTTGGTTGGTTGGTTGGTTGGTTGGTTGGTTGGTTGGTTGGTTGGTTGGTTGGTTGGTTGGTTGGTTGGTTGGCCGGCTTGGCTGGCTTCCCTTAGCTATTCGAGGGTCTGGACCCCCATCCCCGAGGCTTCTCCAGGGGACCATGCCTTCTCAATGCTTGGAACTGTTCTAAAGGGCACTATACCCAGACATGAATTTACGTGATGATTGCTTTCCCAGCTGCCCCCCCCCTCACACGAAGGCTCAACGCACAGAGTGCTCTTTCTCTTTTGGCGCTGTTTCACAAGCAATCTGGGCCCCTGGGACTGGAAATGGAACCCTGTTGTTTCCCCTGTGGTCCAAAACCAGCTAGGATCCCCAAGAAATCATTCAGGGGACCCGATCAGGCCGACCCAGAACCAGTGGGGGGGAACCGCCCGAAGAACAAAACACATGAGAAGGCACGATATTCCGGGGAAAAGCCGATGTGCCTTTTTACTTAAGGTACCTCATTTTTGGCCAGGGCCATAGGCTTTTCCCAAGTGGACAGTGCCTTCTCAACTTTGTTATACTTGTAGAAAAATAAACATAAAAACGAGCGAGCACGCAGAGGTTGGGGGAGCACGCAAACCCGGAGAAGGCCCGCAAAACCCGGAGAAGGCCCGCAAAACCCGGAGAAGGCCCGCAAAATCCGGAGAAGGCCCGGAAAAAAAATCCGAGTCTGTTTTGTTTCGCGATGTGCGACGTGCAAATCCGCCTCCATGGCTGCTGGTGATGCCTGTGCTGCTGCTGATGCTGGTGATGCCTCTGATGCTGGTGATGCCTCTGAACTGGTGATGCCTAAAAGTATCTAGCCAGAGCCAAGGCTGACAAACAGACGTGCCAACCCTTGAGAAGGCACTTATCTGGGGGAACCCGCAAAATCCAGAGGACGCGTGTCCAGACTTCCGTGTTGTTTGTGTTTGTGTGTTTGTGTGTTTGTGTGTTTGTGTGTTTGTGTGTTTGTGTGTGTGTGTGTGTGTGTGTGTGTGTGTGTGTGTGTGTGTGTGTGTGTGTGTGTGTGTGTGTGTGTGTGTGTGTGTGTGTGTGTGATTTTGTTGTGTTTTGTCGTGAAAGGCAATACTGGTAGCTATTCATATGCTGGAATCTTATTCGTTTGGCGTACCAACCCTGCGTGGTTTTGTTTCAACCCAAAGTGACACTTAGCCTGGTTTGGGCACAAATGAAACCCATTCCTTTGCAGTGTTCAAGATGAGGGAGTCCCCCCATGTTGAAGCACCCACTTTCTCCCGGCCAGGTCATTCAAGTGCTCGAGGACACCAGAGAGGCTGCCAGTTGCGCTGTCCATAATGTCCTGTTTAGCTCAGTTTGCTTGAGAATAGGTTTTGCTGGTTTCAGGCTTGTTCTAACAGGTTCTTTTCCTTTTCATCTACAACCAAGTTAATTCAAAGGACACCTATGGCTGTGTCTCAACAGAGGGACCCCAGGTCTCAAAATCAGTAGGGGGACCCGCCAAATGGGATGGTTTCCGGTTGGTTTCCCTTTAAAACACTGAAAAGAAGACTCTGAACACAAGGCACAGCCAATTTCTGTCCCCTTCGGGTCACCATTGGATAAACACATGGTCATGTTTGATTTGAGTTTTTGCATGGAACCGTGAAGGCGGAAGTCAAGAAGTCTCCAGGTCTTTTTATCTTCAGGCGGCCGAAGAACCCATGAACACACTTAGGGTGTGTCTGTTGGTGTTTGCCTGCACGAAGAAACGACACAGGGGCCTTGACATGTTTGGGCACGGATGGTCAGTTTCAGGGGGGTGCTTGCAGAGCCCTTGCAAGTACATTGCTCGGGGATAAATGACCGGCTTGCTGTCACAACCCTTGCCCTAGGGGTATGCCCATCAAGCGGTAAAGGAGTCAGGAAACCAGTACTCCTGCCGGAACCCAGAACCCAAATCTTTGCCTTGTTGTTTCCCGTTCGAAAATAAATGTTTGTGTCTTGCTTTATGAGACCACTCAAAGTTTTGTGGTTTTCGTAGTGGTTTCACTTCAAAGCCATCAAAGATGGAGTACCCCCCCCCAAAAAACAAAGAGGCACGCACCAATGCCAAAGGGGTACCCTTGGAAACCCTTTTTCCAATGGACAGTCTGCGAGTCGCAGGCTGACCGCAACTTGACCATGGCCGAACTCGAGGACTTCGGGGGAAAAAACAAACAAAAACGATACGTTGATCCGTTTTGCCGTCGATGTCTTTTGGTTTGTGTTGCTGCATGTTTGGGGTGTTCTTGATTTGTGTTGTTGTGTTTTGCTTTGCTTGTATGTTATGTTGCTTGTCTGGTTGATTGGTTGGTTTGCTTGCTTAGGCTGAGTTATTTCGTTGGCTTAGCGTGCTTTGGTTCGCTTTGATTTGGTTCGTTTATTTGGTTGGTTAGCTGAGTTATGTCTTTGCTCTGTCCGTGTTCCTTCAGACAAGCCATCAGCACGGTTGCACCGGGCGAAGACAGAAATCCTCCCCGAGATCTGCGATGTCCGAGGGCAGACCTGGCCGCTACGTGCCAGGGCTGGCGCAAACCCGGCTCCCGGCTGCCCATCTTTTCGCGATGCTTGTTTCACATTTCGCCTTCTGGGGCAGTTTGAGCCGTTTTTTGAATGCCATTGGTCTGCCCTGTGAGACTCGTTGGTGCCCCAATTTGAACTGAGACCCGCTTGGATGTTTTCGGGACCGGCACAGGCAAAGATTTTGCAGTCAGCTCGTAAAGGTCTGTCTTAGAAATAGATGGGGATCCTCAAAATGGATGGCTTTCTTCTAAGGGTAGCTTCCATTTCCATTCTTTCCAGGGATCCGGATCTTTCTAGAAAACCACAAAAAAAAACATGGGAAACAGCGATCGGTTTTCGAAGGATGGTGGAAAAGAATGGACAAGGAATCAAGCCCTAGATTTCTTGTACCACAAAAAAATCCATGAGAAACAGCTTGGTGTTTAAAATAATGGTTTCTTGTACCCCAATCTTTCTTTCTAGAAACCAAAAGAATGGTTTTTGAATCAGCCCCTAGATTTCTTGGCTGATGGGTATTGGGTTTTTTGGGTTCTTTGCAACATATACTCTAAGTGTAAAAGTGGCCCCCAGAAAACCTCTAGATTTCTTCGTGGTTTCAAAACCACGATCAAATGTCCCCCCCGCGCCGGACTTCGGAATTCGGCACCCGCATCGGAGCCAGGAGCGCTCCAAGCTCGCCGCCAGGCCCAGGCGTGCGCACGGGAAAACGAGGTCACGCGGGTCCTTTGGGGATGCATTTCTGATTCAGGTGTTGGTACTTGGTGGCTCCCAGCCATCCGGTTCCTTGTCCTTTTGGCCTTTTAGCCTTTTAGCCTTTTAGCCTTTTTGCCTTTTTGCCTTTTTGCCTTTTAGCCTTTTAGCCTTTTAGCCTTTTAGCCTTTGGTCTTTTGGTGTTTAGTGATAGTTTCCGTTTAACCCACTAAAATTGAAACTTTTAGCGGGGGATCTGAGGGCAGCCCAGGGTAGCTAGAGGTGTTGGTATTGTTGTAGTCACAGAACAAGTAGACTTGTAATGAGGCATCCTCGATGTATCCTCGAATTTCACTGGTGGAATCCACCAAGGCCCAAAAGAACTTGGGAATTCCTCATGCCAATTAGCACTCAAAAGAGGCGGTGTCCCTTGGTTTCCAACTAAGCATTCCCACAAAAAGGGTGCCCTCAAAAAGATCCCAAGCGAGACGTGTGTCAAACCAATTGTAGACTTCCCAAAAATGGGCGCGGGTCCTTCAAAGATGGGATTCCTCCTGAAATGGTGTGTTGGGTTTCATGTCAACCAGGGGAGTAGGGGAAGAGCCACTTTGCGTCATACAAAACTCTGTGACCCCTCTCGTACTTTGCGTTTTGGTTGCCCACGATGTTTTGATCGAAGAGATACCCAGGGTTTGTCAATGTTTGTCACCTCTCGTTTTTTTTTTTTTTGTCAAGATGCCCTACGCCCTAGCCTCGATGGTCAAAACGCACTCCTGCAAAGGGCGCCCAAAGTCATATGTAAGTCTTCTTCGAGGGCAGCTCTGGGTCAAGGGAATGAACCGAATTTGTCAGTGCGTGCCGCTACAGCAAAGCTAGGAGCATTGGCAATGGTGCGACATGGGGTTAAGTGGAATGAAGGTGGGGGCGAGCTTCATCATTGGAGCCCGGTGTAGGATTAAGGGCATTTGAGTGACTTCAGTTTGTTCGCTGGCTCCACACTGTTTGATGCAAGAGTTCTAGTTCCTTGCAGGTTAGCTGGCTTGAATGTACATGTTGTATTACACACACGGGCACATATTATATATATATATATACACCTATTGTATCACATAATTATGTATGTGTGTATTGATATGCCAGCCCCCCCATGAACTACCTTTTCGCATCCCGGAGGACACACATCCATTTGGAAAGGAATTCCCACTTAAATGATGATGTAAAATACCTTTTCACATTCAATTATGTCCTTCTTGAATTTTATTAAAGTTTTATTGGAAAGGAATTCACAATTAAATTCTAGATGAAGAGACAATCCACATGAATTATTCCCTTCTTAAGTTTTCTATGGAATGTCGACTTTAGATTAGAATACACAACCTGGCCTCATAAGGCTCCTGTTGGGGCTCCTTGTCACGTTGTATTCTTATAAAGCTCTGTGTAAGGCTCTTTACAAAGATCCTTACGGAGCCCCTGAGAAACGTCCTTAAAAGGGCCCCTTGCACGGCGCCTTTACAATTCCTTATAAAGCTGTTGTCTAAAGTCCTTAAGACTTATTCTAGAGCTCCCTACACGGCCCCTTGTGAAGCTCCTTGTTAGCCCGTTTATGAAGTAAATAAGAATTCCTTCCCAACTGTGGTTTTTCATCACGTTTACGTACACTAAACGTAGAATCCAAAAAACCAAGCTTTCAAGTCTATTTTCTAGTTTCAAGTATATACGGACTAGCTTATTTCTATGTTGTGTTCGTCCTTCCTACATGCTGAAAAAACATATTGATCGAGCTTTTCAGAACCCCCGATTTTTTCGAGCTCAACAATCCGACAAACACGAAAGCCTTAAAGAACACACAAGTCAAAGCAAAGCAACAACACAAATGAATAGAAGCAATACAGAATAAAGACGATTTTGGGTTTGGTGGCATGTATTTTGTATTGTGTATTTTTTCCCAGGTTGTTGCTTGTTGTTTTATTTGTTCTTTTCAATATTGTGAGAGCTTTCTAGGTAACAGCAAGCACAACTGCTCGGTGTTTACATGGAAACAACTCAGGAAAACAACTGCAAGGACCACCTCAAAAGCCACAACATACTGGGAAATCCGCAAGTCCTCTCTTCCCCCGGCAAAAGCAACAACAACATATGAATATAGTTTTGGTTTAGTGTCTTGTTTACCTATGTTTTGTTGTTTGTTTGGAGCTTTTTTCAGGTAGCAGGGAAAAACACTGAAGGTGTTTTGGTTTCCACTCCTAGCCGACATGAACAAACATACATGATGGCCAGCTAGCCGCACTGTGCTCTCACTGCGCTGCCATGCTTGTGCCTTAATGTGTGTCAAACTATCACGGCCCTTTCTACTGAAACTTCTACCCCCCGACTTTGCGGGCTCCAGTGGTACTAGGGTGCATCTATCAAGGTGGTTATGATATGTGCATTTGTGCATATGTTGGCGTCGGCCAATGCATCATATCCAGACACATGCCATGTCTCAGGTTCAGGATTCCCTGCCGCATGGCTTGAGGCGGCACTGTGCCACAGACCCAACATCGCGGCAAGCCGGCAGACTGCTGGGCAGCTGCCGTGACGGCCTGAACTGCCCAGCTCAAAGATGGCGGGGCTCAAATTGAGCAATGCCATGGCGTACATCCATGCTTGCTACTTGGTTGTGCGTGCGTGTGGTACCCGGTGTTTGTTTCATGTTATGACTCGTGCTGCTTCTTTGCTTTTCGGGCCCTTAGCTGCTGGACTCGCGGCTGCAGTTTTGACATATGGCCAGTGAGTGCCTGTGCCTGTTTCGTGATGTCTCCGGGCGTGGCCTCAGCATGCCAAGGCTGCTGCCCCGAGAGGGATGAGGAGCAAGCAGGCTGGCGCCTTGTCGCCATTGTGGCTCGCTCGCCTGCTCCGCAGGAAGAAGATTTCCTGGAAAATCTGAGAGCCTCCTTCTTCAGAAGCTTTCCCTCCCTTGCTCACAAGCTACATAACAATGATGACCCAGCCACGTGTCTTGGCAATGTGTTGGGAATGCGGCGTTTGCCCAGCTAGTCACTCGGATTCTACAGATTTTCCGCCGTGCGCCCCGGCCGAGGCGGAGGCTGCAGGAGGCTGTGCGCAAGCATGCGCAAGATTTGGGTTTGCGGGTTGGAAGCACGCAGTGACTAGTTCCATTCGGACAAAATCCATGTTCGATTTGCGCAGGGTGCCCCCGAAAACCGGATTCTAGTCACTTTCCTGAGGTCCGCCATGCTGACAAGCAAGTGACAAAAGTGGCTTGGACACCCCGGAAGTTCTCAGTTCTCAGTTCACAGTCCATGGCGCACTCAGCCCTTCGTTACGCACCAGGGCACGCAGAAACTTCGTTGTCAAGGTGGCGCAAGGAGAGTGGGGTTGGCGCCCGTTTTGCGGCGTTGTCCTTTCAGAAAATACATGAAAAGGGCGCCCAGCAAATTGGAGCCTTGCGCGCGCTACAAAGGCAGGAGGCGGGGAGGCGCGCCATCTCTCCCGACAGCACGTTGCGCGCCTGCGTGTTGTTTTGGGAGCCCCCTGTCCAACACAGTATCATTGCCAAGAACCGCGCCGATCTTGCACAGGCACACAGTGCGGGCTTATGAGGCGGGCGACGGTCAAAGCACCGAGCGAGCCGCCTGAAGCGCCCATGCCAGCTGCAAACGCAGCTGCCCTGGCGCAAGGCACGGTCTTCAACAGTTTGATGGGAGAGGCTTTGCCCTTCTTCAAAGGCTGTCCTCCAAGCCATGCGGTTTTGTCACAACTGATGAGACCAAGATAAAGCCGCCCTATCCATATAAGAGTCGTCCAAAGGGTCCCTATATTCAGCATGAAGGGGAAGATCTTTTTGTCCCACTGTCGCCCTACGCGAAACCTTCAAGTTAGAGGTCGGGAAAGTTGGTTTGTCTCGCGGTAGTTTTGTGTAAGGGTTGTTGGTTAAAAGGAAGATGTAACGATGAACATTGCGTGTTTGACGGCAGTGCGCGCAGAATGCAGAAAGTTAGTCGGAGGATAGAGTGGCGCGCAAACAATGCGTCGCTGCAAAGGCGCCCAGCAGAATGCAGCTTGCTGGAGTTTTGAAGCTTTCGGGCCCAGTCCCTTTGAGCAAAACCCGCAGCCAGGAAAGAGCCGCGGAGGTCGATGGACCTTCTCGCCATGGGCGGCCGGGCGGCCAACGGGCCCCCTCCTGTGCTGCTGCACGGCTTCAAGCTGGGGCTGCGAAAGAGGAGTTTCAGCAGCTCAGCCACCGATCAGTTCTTTTGCAACTGGTAGCGGGTTGTGGGCCTGGTTAGGCAGTGGTGCTCGTCAGTCCCCATGTGCGTGATTCTGTACTGAACTTGCATGGAGAAGGGAGGAGCCGGAAATGCTGCCTGGGATCTTTCCACGCGCTGGCTCACATGTATGAAGCTTAAAGCCTTCCGAGAAGAACCCGAAACATACCCCCGAAACATACCCCCGAAACATACCCCGAAACATACCCAACTATTGGGAAGGCCCACGTTGAACTGGCTCGAGTCAGGTTATCGTTTTTGCTTTCCCACAAGAATCGCACATATTAATCTGTTCCTACGACAAGTTCTGGAACAGAACCCGTTTCGCGGATATGTCTGACTAGTGGTACATGTAGAAGAACACACAGTGCTTAGTAGCAGTCACACACACACACACGTAAAGGTAGTGACGGGGGGCCTGGGAAGAGGTATTTACATGGCTGTGTGTACGTATTTATGAACTTTCATGTGTAAATACACATGTATATACTCAGTTTTTGCACACCAAACCCGCCATCATAACTGTTGCCCAAAGGGACACCAGGGCATGCGGCCGAAGAGAAGGTACTTTGGCCCTTTTTACACCTCAAAGCACAGCCTCAGAGGGCATTTGCGTAATTGGACTTTCGGGGATGTATCTGCGATTCTTAGGACGAGCTCACCAGGTGGTAAAACAAACACACCGTGATGGTCATGCTTGGGCATTCTTTATTTCAGGATGTGAATTCGTGAAAAACCTGCAGCTGCGTCTCTTTTTCACTGTGCTCCTCCCCACACAGACCTCCAGTATGTATTCTAGCCTGAAGAAAAATAGGGCACCACCACACAAATAGTTGGTGCCACCGAACTCAGCGGTCCATCCAACACCCGTACCAACGGGGGTTGCGGTGTCCAGGGCGCCGGTGCTGCCCGGCGCCGTGGAAGCGGAAGAGGGCACCACCCTAGCTGAGGCGGGAGCTTGGTCCCCCTGCTTCCCCGTGCGCTTTGAACATTTTGCCAGCATAGGTATCCTTTTTAGGTGAGTTTGAGTACAAAGAGATGGGTTCCACTGGTTGAGGCGGGGTTTCTTCCATTTACCAGGGCCATCTATTTTTCCAAAAGGCCACCTATGGTTGCGAACAGTTGGTTTAAATGTAGTTGCCGATATTGGTGCTGCATTTCCCAATGTGGCCTTATGATTCATTCACTTGCTTGCCGTGCGGGGATTTTCCAATGTTTCCCTACATTTGTTTGATGTCCTGATATTTCCCAATGTGTCCACATTTTGCAAATCACATGTTTGTCTCCTTGTGGTTTGGTTGTTGCGTTTTTCTTGTTTGGGGGGGGGAGGGGGGTGGTGGTTGTGTAAGGTGAATTTCCTGTTATTGCGGGTGAGACTTATAGGGAGGAGTTGATACAGCTATTTTTTCGGAGTTTCATACACGCCCCCAAGTTTCGACCCAAATCTTAGATTTGTGGAAAGGATACGCCCTTCTTAGGATTCTCTTGGGATACATTGTGAAGCCTGACAGAGGGCCCAAGGAACATCTGCCAGATTCGCCAGGCTTTCTGATTACCAACTCTGTTTTGAAGCGAGTTTCGTCGGACCTCTGAGCGTTGCAACGTGCAGCTGGTTTGCTAAATGAGCATGGATTTCCTATTTGACCACAAACGAAGCAGATGGTTTGGGACGTCTGCCAGGTAATGTTTCTTGCTTCTCGGGCAAACGAACTCGTGGCTGCTGGTGTGCAACGAAACACTTCTAAAGCTGCCTTTCTTAGAGATCCCTCAGGCTCGGCAGCAGCGGCGAGAGCTGCATGCGCAGCTGTCCAAGGCGAGATTTGCCAGATGGATGTTGAGGGTATCCTTCTTGGGTTGGTTTGAAGGGGAACCAAAGGGACCCCCGCATTGAGAGGTGTTTTGTTGAGAGTAATGGCCTAAATCATCACGAATATGTTGCTCCTATCAGTACTAAGTTCTGGCGAACATGGCACCCCACAAACCGATCACAATTATGTTGCTTGGCTTCAAGGGGAACTAACGGGAAACGTCGGGGAACCACATTCTATTTTGAAGCAAGCCCATATGAGCAGCTTGCAAGATTGCAGGGTGAAAATGGATGGCGCCCTTGCCACGGTGTTGATTAGGTGTTGTGATACCTCTATACTTGGGACTGGTGCCATCGTAGCATGGCAATGAGCTTGCTCCATCTCGATCTCCGCTTCGACGGCGAGTGAATTGTTTCGGGGACTCACGAAACCAGAGGGCCCACTTTGTTCCATGTCCGGAACACAAGTGGCTTTGTTCGGGGCTGCAGGTGTTGCTCAAGATTAGGAGTCCTTTCAGGTGCTTCGTTTCGGCGTTCCGATAAACACCCATCCAAACGGAGGCCTGACAAATTTGAGGCGGGCCCAATTAGGTGTGGGTCAAGAAGACATACCCAAAATGGCCCCTTTGGGTTCATGGAAACAAAGACCAAACCCTGCGTACCCCATCTCTTACATTTTGAGGCGCACCTCTCTCTGCGTGCACTGGGTAAAGAGAGCTGGTGAAGGTCCCTTGCGGATTGCTAAATTCAGGTTAGGTGAAATTGGGGGATTGGTGCAGTCATTATTCTCTCTGCGGGCCCTAGTTGCCCGCTCAAGTTTCATTTGGCCAGTGAGTGGGGCAACAAGCAACGCCATTCTTCCAGATGGCGGGTTGTCAGTTGTGTGAAGCAATGTGCTGTTGTGGCTTGAGCCAGGGATGGGTCATTGTGTGCCTAAGGTTGTTTGGCAACACAGACTGGGCCCAAATGGCTCTGCGCTAAAGTCAAATGATTCGATTCTCAAAAGCCAAGAGACACGGCCCCGCCTATTTCCGTCACGCGGGGTGACCTTGACAAACGAGGCGATCCGCAAGAACGACGCCTTGGCAGTGGCCGCTTTGGTGCAGCGCCTTGACTCAACGGGCCTTTGATCCTCAGCCCAAAAAGCTGAACCAGGCCCCCAATAGATTCAATAGATGTCCACTCACTGGCCGCCATTTTGGCATCAAGGATGTCACTTAAACCGTGTCACAGACGTTGGGCAGGTGCTGGAAGGAAACAAAACCAACTTCCAAAAAAGCACCTCCTGCAAAGGCCCAAGTTGGTATGTTGTCAATGATCGTCAGCTGTTCAGTGCGCGCTCTAGTTTTGTTTCCCCACTAGGACCTTTTGGTTTCACCAAGTTGGCATTTCCATAAGGTTCACGACCTTTCAAAGGGCTTGGAGCAACCCAGTTTGGCTTTGGTCTAGCCCAACAGTGAAAGGGAAGAGGGTGAGTGTAATTGGGAGTTTCCACAAAGGGGTCCTAGAAATGGCTTGACCTCATCAGGAGCTTCCGACGAGTCAATCAAGAAACCCCTGGTATTAGTTCGGGGGTGCAACTCAAGAGGATATCTACTGGATGCTTGCGATGCTGCATATGGTACTATTTGTTGTTTTTATACGGTGGGCATTTTCCTGTCATGCTATGGATGGACTAAATCCTGCACCACCTAGTGTCTGATGATTCCCCAACATAAACACCAACAAACACTGGTGTCAACTGTTTCGACCATGGTGAGTCATTTCGTGGTGCGATTTGGTGGATTTCGCAAACCATTCACCGTAGCACGGCGCCATCCCTCGGTCTTCGGCTTGGCTTCCGATCTGCGGACCGATCCGACCCGTCCGCGCGCGAGGCGGGGAGCGCCCATCGAGCTCCCCTTCGACCTGGGCTATGGGGAGCAGGGCACCTGCTCTTTGACTGAACCCCACGATTTGGCGCGGGCACCGGTCGCTTTTCTGTTTGGTTTTCCTGTACCAAACGGGGCATCCTCAAAAGGGCAGAAACGCCCGGGCGCCGGCGGACCTTGGTGAAGCCCATTTTGAGATTAAAAAGTCTCCTTGCTGGGTGACAGTGAAAGGCAGATGAAGAGATCTGGGTTCGCAGAGGTTTAGCATGAAGGTGTTCTGGTTGCGGGTGAAATGGGAAACTGGCTTGCGACCTCACCCATCATCAAGTTTGCTTTCATGGAGAAACCTTCTGTTCAGTTCGTGAGTTGTCAGAACTCACCCCCCTCCCCCAGAAATTGGGTCTGAGGTTGCCATTTGTGACAACAAGGGACTCCCCCTTCAACGTGGTAAAGCGGTCATGGGGACGAGAATCCCACGTTGGATGATTTGCGTTCATCGGCATGCGGGAGGCACCAATCATCGGGTGATCGGTTTTCCCGAAAGCATGGCGAAGGGTTCTTCCGCTGGGTTCACTTGAGTTGTTCTCATGAGAGTCATTACAAGGTGTCATTGCAAGGAATCAGCATCATGAAAGTCATTGCAAGGAGTCATTGCAAGGAATCATCATCATGAAAGTCATTGCAAGGAGTCATTGCAAGGAGTCATTGCAAGGAGTCATTGCAAGGAGTCATTGCAAGGAGTCATTGCAAGGAGTCATTGCAAGGAGTCATTGCAAGGAGTCATTGCAAGGAGTCATTGCAAGGAGTCATTGCAAGGAGTCATTGCAAGGAGTCATTGGCAAGGAGTCATTGCAAGGAGTCATTGCAAGGAGTCATTGCAAGGAGTCATTGCAAGGAGTTGCAAGGAGTCATTGCAAGGAGTCAAAGGAGTCATTGCAAGGAGTCATTGCAAGGAGTCATTGCAAGGAGTCATTGCAAGGAGTCATTGCAAGGAGTCATTGCAAGGAGTCATTGCAAGGAGTCATTGCAAGGAGTCATTGCAAGGAGTCATTGCAAGGAGTCATTGCAAGGAGTCATTGCAAGGAGTCATTGCATTGCAAGGAGTCATTGCAAGGAGTCATTGCAAGGAGTCATTGCAAGGAGTCATTGCAAGGAGTCATTGCAAGGAGTCATTGCAACTTGCACTTGACTCCATGCACTTGCAACTTTGCACTTGACTCCTTGCACTTGCAACTTGCACTTGCACTCCTTGCACTTGGCAACTTGCACTTGACTCCTCGCTGACTCTCAACTCCTTGCAATGACTCCTTGCAATGACTCCTTGCAATGACTGCAATGACTCCTTGCAATGACTCCTTGCAATGACTCCTTGCAATGACTCCTTGCAATGACTCCTTGCAATGACTCCTTGCCATGACTCCTTGCAATGACTCCTTGCAATGACTCCTTGCAATGACTCCTTGAAACAAGCAAGGAGTCAAGTGCAAGTTGCAAGTGCAAGGAGTCAAGTGCAATTGACTTGCGAGGAGTTAAAATCTCTTCTTAGGGCGGCGGGGTAGTGCCGACGACACTACACGAAAATCGACCCTCTGCGGGGGCGTGGTCGAGGTGCAAAAACCCATGGCGTGGTCGAGGTGCAAAAACCCATGGTTTTTTGCGATTTCTAACGCGCGCGACCCTCTGCGGGGATCGGCGTGGTCGAGGTGCAAAAACCCATGGTTTTTTGCGATTTCTAACATGCGGGGATCGCGCGTGGTCGAGGTGCAAAAACCCATGGTTTTTTGCGATTTCTAACATGCTCGCGCGACCCTCTGCGGGGATCGGCGTGGTCGAGGTGCAAAAACCCATGGTTTTTTGCGATTTCTTGCTCGCGCGACCCTCTGCGGGGATCGGCGTGGTCGAGGTGCAAAAACCCATGGTTTTTTGCGATTTCTAACATGCTCGCGCGACCCTCTGCGGGGATCGGCGTGGTCGAGGTGCAAAAACCCATGGTTTTTTGCGATTTCTGCGGTGCTCGCGCGACCCTCTGCGGGGATCGGGGTTTTTTGCGACTTTTGCTGGTCCTCGGGAGTTGTCTCGTGGTTCGCGCGCCTGCTCCCGGAACCGGCGGGTCGCGGGTTCGATTCCTCCCTGGTCCGCGGGCGGGCGTCGCAAGATGCAACTTGCATTTTAAAGCAACTTGCGCAGAGCAACTTGCGCAGAGCAAGTTGCACAGAGCAACTTGCGCAGACCAACTTGCACCGACCAGTTTGCGCAGAGCGCCTTGCCTAGAGCAACTTGCGCAGAGCAACTTGCGCAGAGCAACTTACGCAGAGCAACTTGCACAGAGCAACTTGCACAGAGCACCTTGCCTGGTGCTGTCTCGCGCTTGCTTCACGAATGCTTCGTGTAGGGAAAAAGAACGCATCCTGCAGCGTTGGGCCGACCTCGCTTGCGATGTTCTGCTTTCGGGCCAACCGTGGTCTAGTTCTTTCCTTTTTTCCAGTGCCATGTCCAACTCTGCATCATGAGTTGGCCTCCCCAGTCGGCAAACATGATACACATAAACAATTATGATATGATAGGAAACTACTCCATAAAACGTGATGCTCCCAAAATCCGCAAAAGCAAACGTCCCTTAAGCTGGTTCTTCAAAGGCATCGTCGGCCAGAAGTCACCAGTTTGTCTGCGAAAATCAACTCTCCGCGTGCCGAAGCCTGAAGTAACCCCCTACGTCTTCCTCCGAAATGCTTAGTGTTCTTCTGCTGTTCATTTGATTTGTTTTTCAAACAAAAGCATGTATTGCATCATTGGATATGCCCTCCAAAAGCCCAGCACGATTACTTGGCTATCCTCAGGCATGCAGGTTTCATGAGTTGAGTCCTTGCAGTGGACGATAGATCACACACCATTTTTCCGGCTTGGGACCGGGACCCCAAGCACACCCTCCCGAGACGAACATAGAGCTTCGAGCCCTTGTGAGAGCGATTTTGTCTGGAAAGAATGCCGCCAAAGTGAAGCATTCCTTCCTCAACTGAACCATCCCTGGTTTCACTGTGGCTGTTTTTTGGGGGGGAACCCCCAAAAATGGGGGTGGGGGGGTTTCCTTTTGGTTTCCCTTTGAAACCAACCAACAGTGGTACCGTCAAAAGCAAAATATACCCTTTTTGATGGGCATGTGGTTCCACCGCTTTTCCCGTTTTCCCGTTTTTCTTTTTTCTCCCAATTTTCCCGGTTTTTCCCGTTTTGCTCGAGACGTCCCAAGACATCCCGCGGGACGTCCTCAGACGTTCTCCGAGGCGTGGACTGGGCCGTGGCCTCGCAGCGGCCGCAGGTGGCTCTGCAGCTGCTGCGCCTCGCCGACGCCAAGGGCCACGGCCAGGCGCGAAGCGCTCGCTCCGCGCTCGATCCGCGGATCCGGAGCCGAGTCGAGGCTCCTTCGACAGATGGAGAGGGTGTTAGTCCTTGGAACCCCGAAGATTTGTCTTGTGGAGCTGTCCACAATAAATGGGTTCTCGTTCACGACGTCTGCCGAGAACTTTTTTTGGGTGGCGCGAGCTGGCCGAATGATTTGGGGAAGGGAGAAACGAGCGAAGTTGCCATGAAACAGGTGCTTTACTTCGGGATATTCTCGATTCAGCTTCTGGAAGAGTAAAAATTGCGGATCCGCGATTCAACCGAGGACAAGGGCGGAGCCAAGTGGTTGGCAAGTTTTTAGTTTTTTGGAGGCGTTGAACCAGCTTCCGAAGCCGTTTCTTCCGATTGTTGTTTCTGTCGATTTGTTTCATGTGGGCTGTTTGGTGGAATATCAAATTGTTTGGAGGGGTTCGCCAGCGTTCGCCTTGTTGCCGTTTTCGTGTTCGTTTTGTGCAGGCCATGCGAAACTGGGGCTGGGGAGTCGCGTTTCGAAGTCGACCGCTTGCAAGTCGAGTGCTCGCTTTCTTGTTGAAATTCGCACGGAGGCATTGGCGCAGCAGGCTGTGGCGGCTTTGTTCTGGTCGGCGCTGCACGGCTACCCAGAGGTCCTGGAAGGCTCGCCGGAAGTCATGACTTGAATCACTCTTCGGGAAGACCATTTTAGTGGTAACTGAAATAGTTTCATTTGTTTTGGCATGTCTTCTATTCGTGATACAGTCAAAATACCCCTTTATTGGTTAGGGCTGATCATGAGGCCTTTAGAGGTTTAACTAGCAGGCTATCGGCATTGGGTGGGCACACATCAGTTTTGCCCTGGCCGAGTTCCAAACGGTTTCACATATCAGAAGCCACGCTAGGTAGTTGGTTGAAAATAGGGGGGGTTGGGCTTCCTTCTTCTTCTTCTTCTTCTTGCGGGCTCCAAGAGGAACTAGTCTCGTTCCTGCTGTTTGTTTCCTTGGTGTCCCTTCACATCAAGCTTAAGCTTAAAAAGGGTACTTCCAATTCCTCTCGCTCCTCGTCCCCAACCCCAAAGAGCACACAAAGAGATACCTTTTTCCCACTAAGATGGCGCCTGACAGAGGGACCCTTGAAGAGAAAGGACCTTCATCGGCGCACCCGCCCACAGATGATATGTTTTTCGGTGAAGAGTAATACACAAGAAGACACTCCGAATTCTCTTCGTAGCGACAATACAAATGTCAATATACCAATAATCATAGCAACCATAGTATAGATACACACATTGACATAATACAAATACATATATATCTATACACAAAAATATATATACACATACATACACGCATATACACATGTATAGCAACTATGCCTGTATGTATGTAACAACTATCCAAACTTTACATATACATATATAAATCACACATACATATGCATTTAGATATGTACAGATATACATATATATATATACATATATATATATACACATTGTTTTTATCAGACGCCGCAGGGCTCCTCTCCCGGGGCCTGGAAGTCGCGGCGGCGCGGCCGGCGCCCGTGGCGCCGCTCTGCACCACCGGCTCCGCGCTGGCGCTGGCGGTGGCCAGCTGCCGCGCCGCGGAAGCCCGCCGCGGCCGCGACACGGGCGGCGCGCGCACGGCACGGGCGGCGCGCGCGCGGGCGCCGCGTTTTTGTTTTTTTGGAAAAATCGGGAAAGCCGCAGAAAAGCGGCAACTTCGAGAAAAAGCCAAGAAGCCTGGTTTTAGTGTTTTTGTTTTTTGTTTTTGAGAAGTCATGGATTTGTTGGTGTTCTTGGTTTTGTTCCGAAAAACGCGCCACGCCCAGAAAACCAATGAGCCCGATTTTGGGGGATGTTTGTTGGTTGGTCCTACAAACCAGAAAAACAAATCGTTGTTTGCCCAGGAGCCAAGTTGGTTTAATTGCAAAGCAAATAATAAAGCCAAACGACAAATGTGCACAACATTTTTTTCCGGAAAGCGTAGGGAAGAGTCTCTTTGCAAGAACAGGTTGCTTTGCTTGCACAGCTTCACACTCACAGCTTAGCTTGCGTAGCCTGGCTTGCACAGCACTTATCAACATAGCAACACAGCTTCTCTTGCGCAGCTTCATGCTCGCAGCTTGTAATTCTATCTTGATTCTTAGCCGGAAGCCAATCACGAGGAAACCGAAAAGGAGCCGATCTTTTCCTAGGAGACAACAGTGAGTCGCCGGTGGCTCATTTTTATTGGCCCAGTTGGCCTCCGAACGGTTTGATTATGTAGAGGGCTATAATACAACTCTCCCAACTAATTGGGGTTATGATGCATGACCAAACTGAGGCGGCCAAGCAGTGCGATTGTTCAAACTGGTCCTTAAATTGTGTTTTTATTCTTCTCCGCTCACTATGGTTGCAGTTTGAAGGATTCTTGAAATTCCTTGTGTGGGTGTTGTTTGTTCACCATTTGAGTCACTTTGAGGATATCACTTTCGACCCAATTTTCAGCAAAGCAACATTTTCTAGCTGCCAAACCCTACTTCTAAGACTTGGGAGGTGAGTCAGTTGCCGTGGATTGACAACCAACCATTTGGGGTTCTCACATTTCGAGACGAAGCAAGCCATGCCAATGTGTGTAGCATCCGATCTCGGAACCCATCTGTGATCGCCCCAAGAATTCACAAAACCGTTCCAGAAGGATTTCATTTGCGATCGACACCATTTTCGACCTCACCCCAAGCCAAGTGCTGCAGGTTTTCTTCACTGCTCTTGGCAATTTGTTTTTGCTTGGTTCTATTCATAATGTTTGTTTGGTAGG